AAGAAACAAATTTCATTTTAATATAATTATGAATCTATAATTTTGGTCATTTTATAAAACATTAAAATTTCTTTAAATTCTAATTTTTTAGACTTTTGGGCCTTGGGCCCATAGGGTTTTAAGCCTTGGAGGCCCACATGCTAGCCTACATCAATTGTCTGGTTAGTGCCTAGTACTAGCATGGCACCCTAACTAGCCAATGCCGGCACCCGACACTAGCCTTGCCTTTTATAGTTAGTGTCCAACATTGGCCTAGCACATGCCTTTGTGCACCGGCAAGGCACTATCCTTGCATGTGCAAGGCATGTCTAGCTTGGGGTTGGCCTTGCATGTGCGAGGCACGCCCGGCCTAGGATCGGCTCGGTAGTGCTCGATGCACTCGTGCATCCGGCTTGCTTATTGCTTGGCGCGTTCGCCCGTACATGGCTTGCCATTGGCCTAGAATATGTGAGGCAAGTTTGGTCCGGCACATGCCATAGCCAACACCTAGCATTGGCCTCGCGCGTACCCTCCCTCTAGCCTAAAGTTAGATTTTAAAAAATTATAAAATACCAAAATCATTAGATTTATACAACAACAATTATTATAGTTAATCAAAATTAACATCAAAGCAATTAAAGATTTAATGGGACTCGATATCGGTTGAAATGATTATGCATCCTATGAAGATACGGAATAAAATAAAAATTTTGTTTCCTCCATCTAAAGTTTTCAAGATCAATTGATGAATTGACTAATCATATAAATATAATAAGATAACAAGTAATTAACTCTTGTAGTGCGGAATTCAAATTTTATAAAAAGAATCGTTTAAGTATCGGATCTCTACCGATGATCTATATAACTTAAACATCCACATAAGAAGCAACATAAATCATAGAGTACTAGCTCTAATCCTTTTATGCTATGCAAAATTGACACTAAAAAATCAGCAAGGGTTGTGTAATATTTTGTTAGAGACAACTTTTGTACCTTTTCTTAATTAGGAGAGATATATTTTTCTAATTTTTTATGTGAGAGACGCATAAAGCCCTTTTCTTATTTTTTTTTTTATGTCGAGTCGTCTCTCTCTTCCTCTCTTATTTATAAGTGGTGGCAATAACTCGTTTTTAGGAAATGAGTTATTGCTTATGTAGGCTTTTCTAATTTTATTCTTGTAAACCCAAAACCTTATCCTTTAGTGCTTTAATTAACCTATTGGCCTAAACTTCTTTGATTCAATTAATTACTAATTAGTTTGGACCATCTACATAAATCGGATTAGATATTTTTAGGTAGATCCATATTAGAAATAATTTTTCAACCTACCCTTTAATCTAAATTAGAAAAATGAATTTCATTTCAAGTAACTGACTTTCAAATTAGAAAACTAATTCCAAATTAGCAAACTAATATCTAAAATAGAAAACTGATTTTTATTTTAAGAAGCTAATTTTTTAAATAGAAAAATTTTCCAAAAAAGAAAATTTTTTCCATAACTTTTGCTTCTTTTTTATCATGTGAATATTTAAATCTATATGTGTGACTCAATGGGCTCCTAGATATGTTGACAATATATCAAGAAGATAAAAGACACCTCTTTTATATTTTGATATGTAAATCAAGATTGCCTCTAGTAATTACTATCCAATTCTCTAGAAAGATTAATTAATCTGTAATTACTTTTCACGAGTATGATTTTCATATAATTCATTCCTCATGTTAATTTATCACAATGTGATCTCGAACTTAGTTTATAGTCTATTTAATTATGATCACATATATTTTCTTTAATCTCCAAATGGCTTATCTCTTAAATAAATCAACTATGCTCATTGGTATATTTCCACTTGTGACCATAAATTCTTTAAACAAACATGCATCGAAGTGCAATATGATAACTCCTTTAGCATAGAAGGAATGAGATGCCCTATCTTAGTCATTTATTTATCTCTATTAGTTTCTAATGTACCTAACGAATCACCTACATGCAACTCTTTACTAAATCCATTAAAACGAATGTCAAAGTACATTAATCCTCTAATGAGATAATCATGATGACTTCAAGTCAAAGGATTGCTTATACCTTTCTTGTATGAGATTCTCATATACAGTACCAAATGAGTTCTCATGGTGAGTCTTGTTTAGTGATATATCTCTAATATTATTCACCTAAATACTTGCTTTGGCATCACCATGTCGATAGGTATGAGATCTCCAACTGCTATCTCACGGTAGGAGTATAGTACTTATAAGTCTTATTGTATGTTGTCTATGTCTATTCTTGATAGTGCTTCAACTTAGGATATTTAATGATATCATTTAAATGCATAGATGCTCGGTCTCACATCTATTGATCAAACATTAATACAATGCATATCATATGAACTTCTATCTAATTTTATCAAATGATAAATAACAAGAATTAATAGAAAGACCTCTTTATTAATATTGAAATACAATGATGTAATAAATCAAACCATCCAAATAAGTTAGATTTATGGCACCTACACTAACAGATTGATCGATGGAGTCTAGTTCGAGGTGAACGATTGACAATAGATGGTTGTTGCTATAATTAGTGAGAAGGTATTCTTTCGAGACCTAGAAACCAACGAAGCTAGTTTGGTGCTATTATTTTCGAAATCCCCTTCTTCCAAAAACTTAGTAAGAACCTTAAGCTTTCTCTCTAAAATTTCCCTCTCGACCTAATGCCTTTAAATTTATTTGAAATTTCCTAATTTGATCAAATCTATCCCAATTCCTTCAATTCCTCCGGTTGCATTTCTTCTCTATTTTTCTCCTTCATTTTTTTTAACTAAAATTCAATCCTATTTATAGTGGAATTCCTTCTCCTCTACCATTTGATCCCATTCTACCTAATCTTGTGACTTTCGTTATCGCTAAATTCACCAAGCTCCTCTCTTATTGTCTTATGTCTCCCATATTTTTTGTGTTTTACTTGTATGATGCATCATGATAGAGGGGTGATACACTACATTTCCCGACTAAAAATGCGAGTATAATGAGCATCCGCCTTAGGATAAGAGTCTAAAACCCGATGGCAACTGCTCATCCTTGGTTGCGTGTGTGCGAGTGAAGCCAAAGGGAAGATGAACATTGTTGTGCTACCGGCAATTGGATCGAGGCCCGGACAATAGGTTGTTTGGAATGGTTCTAGATTGGTCTTGTCACCATACCTTTCTTTTATTTGGGTCCATATGTATCTAAAACCCGTCTCAATTGTACTCCTTAGGCATAACATTTTAATCCTTAGTTCTTTTTAATTTTTTTCATTGGGTCCTTGTATCTTTCAATTTTAGTTCTTGGGTTTTGAATTGTTTCAATCATGTCCTTAATTGTTACCAATTGAATTTCATTTCCATTCAATTACACCAATTGGAACTAAAATTAAAATAAAACTAAATAAAGGATAAAATAAAATAATAAAAATGATAAAATAGAAATAATAAAAGTGGGATAAAGAAACCAAAATCATATAAAGAAGTCAAAATAATTAAAAATAAAAATAAAAATACATTCGAAGTGATTTTGTTATAGGTTTATCGATAAATTTTATCTTCATTCTATTATGATTTGATAATTTCGGGCATTGAGTTCTAAATTGTGTAATTTTAACACCGAACTATTGATTTTTGGGAAAAATTTATCAAATGTTTCTAATTGTCATTATATATAACGATTAACTGGGTTGACATTTACATGGAATGTCAAAATGATGTCATTTTGCCATTCTCGCTATTAATTATATTTTTTAAAAAAAATTTTAAATATTTTTAACCCTCTAATCTAGAAATTTTTTTAAAAAACTTTTTTTTTCTTTTAAAAAATTATACACATTTTAATATATATATATATATATATATATTTTAACTCTCCTAATTTTGAACTTTTTTTATATTTTTATTTTAAAATATTATGAATATTTTATAAAAAATGTTTTTTTTATATAATTTATAATTTATAAAATTAGGGATGTCAATCCTTAATTATGCTTATTTTAATTTATATAATATTTTTTAAAGGTCCGAAATTGCGAATTGTTAATAATGTTTGTTTACCATATTTTTTTTTATAAAATTTTTATAATATCCAATGAGTATTAAAATGTTTATAATATAAATTATAAATTTTTATAAATTAAAATGAGCATAATTAAGGGTTGATCACCCTAATTTTATAAATTATATAAAGAAAATTATAGAATGTTGATAATATTTAATTAAAAAAGTTTTTTTAAAAATTCAAAATTAGGAGGTTAAAAATTTTTAAAAATATATTTTTTTGTATCATTTATAAAATTTTTATAATATTTTATAAGATTTTTTTTTAAAAAAATTCAAAAGGGTCAAAAATATTTTTAAAATATTTAAAAACATAATTAATAGCAAAATGTCAAGACAACGAGCATTTCAAATAATGGTTAACTTAATTGACCTTTACATATAAGAATAATTAGATAAATTGGATCAATTTTATCCAAAAATTAATAATTTAATGTTTTAATTATGTAATTTGATACTAAGTATTTAAAATTATCAAATCAATAAGGATAAAATCATTAAACTTTTTATTGTAGAGACACATGTGGGCAATATAGCAGTATTAAGATACCCCTTTGATTCTTTCGCTGTCCCTACTCCTGAAAAGAAATACTTGGATCAGCGGTCGGTCAATAGTACCCCACAGGCCACAATATTTCAACAATGTTCTTCATTTTAATTAACATATGGTAATGTATAAGGAACTTTCTCAGTAGCACCCTTTTTTGAGTCAACAATCCGGAAGACTAAAAGAGAAAAAAGGAAATTGAAAAAAAAAAAAAAAGAAAGATAAAGTTGGGGGAAAACTCGTCAATTGTGGTGCAAATATGGAGAAATTTCATGGTGGCTCCACTCTGTGGAAAGTCGATGTCTCCTCCCTCATTATTAATTTCTTCTTGTCCAACCTCTCTCTGCAACTCCAAATTCCTTCCAAAGGACTAACTTTCCTTCTTTCTCATGCCCCAAACTCCACACATGGATCGACGGCTCCATGAGGCCATCCTGAAAGGAGAGGTCCCTGCCTTCCATGGTCTGATTCAAGAAAATGAACATATTATTAATCAAACAATTCCAGGGTCGTTAAGCACCATTTTACACTTAGCATCACGTTTTGGGCACGTAGAATTGGCTAAGGAGATTGTGAAGTTGAGGCCGGAATTGGTGTTCGAGGTGAATGAGACGTTGGAGACCCCATTGCATGAAGCTTGCAGAGAAGGGAAGATGGAAATGGTGAAGTTCTTGGTGGAGACTGACCCTTGGCTGGTTTACAAGGTGAATCAAGACAACGAGAGTGCCCTAATTGTGGCATGTGAAAGAGGGAAACTTGATGTTGTGGACTATCTCTTGAATTTTCAAAAACTACTAATGTTGGAACTTGATGGCTTCACTACTTCTCTTCATGTTGCAGCTGCAGGAGGTCATACAGGTATTTAACTCTACTAACTTGGTAGTATGAATTTTGGTAACCATGCCTTTTATATTATAACCAAGATAATTCTAAAAAAAAAAAAAAAAAAAAAAAAAATCGGTTTGGACTTATTTAGAATATTGGTTTGGACTTATTTAGATTCTAAATTAGGCCTTTCCCCCTCCTTTGATTAGAAACTAGAACAAAAACAATTTTAAATTAAACCTCTGTTTTTTTTTTCCTGTAATATAATAGGTTACATTTTATTGAAATTTGCAAATAATAATAATAAAAAACTCAAGATAAGTGGTCAGAAAAAAGACGAAGATAAAGTCTTTAGGTAATTCTAAAAAAGTTTGGGATCCCAAGAAGAATTTATCTTTTGGATAAGTGAAGAATATATAATTAGAGTAATACTAATCATCCATAATATTCTTACAAAATTTATCTATAAAAAAATATCAACCACTAAATCCATGAAAATTATTTTCGAAATCCATTATTTATTCATATATATATATATATTACTATACTTCTACCGTATGTATATCGTAGCAACTAGGAAAGATATATAGCATAATTTTCTTTCGGTAATTTTAATAGTTTTAGCAAAATTAAATGTTAATTTTTGAAATTACATCATAAAATCTTACAAGGAAATATTAACGAAAAAGTCTGAAAATTCATGGACTGAAATATGATTTGAAATTACGTCATAAAATCTTACAAGGAAATATTAACGAAAAAAATCTGAAAATTCATGGACTGAAATATGATTTATACTTTTAATCTCAATTTATCAACCACTGAAACAATGGCCAAAGCTCAAGTTATCAGCGAACCTATTAGAGCTAAGCCCATACGACATTTCACCTTCTCAGGAGGAATAAATCTACATATACCAGGAGTTCCTCATGAAAAATCTTTCTACCAATAGATTTTTCATTTTTTTTTCGATAAGAAATTAACTTTTTTAAAATTAATTTGACATGTTTTTCGACTGTAGTTTAGCACATAATTTAGTTAGAGGTACTTTTTAGAAATTAATTTGACAAGTCAGTCTAAATTAGTTGTACGTAGTATTACTTTGTGATGAGTAGAATTCTGAAATTCTCCTATTCATTTTCAGACATTGTAAAGTTAATCTTGAAGGCACGCCCGGAATTTTCTGGGAAAAAGGATGTTCAGGGATGCACACCTTTACACCTATGTTGCAAGAAAGGCCACCTTGAAGTAACCAGGGAGCTATTGAGGTTTGACTCTGACCTCTCTTCCTTGCAAGACAATGATGGCCGAACCCCACTTCATTGGGCAGCAATCAAAGGAAGAGTGAACATCATCGACGAGATACTCTCAACAAGTCTTGAATCTGCTGAACTGATTACTAAACATGGAGAGACAGTTCTCCATCTGGGGGTGAAAAACAATCAATATGAAGCTGTTAAGTATCTTACCGAGATGCTCAACATCACAAAGCTTGTTGACAAGCCGGATAATGACGGGAATACAGTTCTGCATCTAGCTACTGCTGGGAAGCTTAGTACTGTAAGACCTTTTGCTCATGAACTTGTTGTTTAACAAAAAAGAAGAGTAAATTTCACATTGATAAAATCAAATTGCTTGCCTAATTTATAATTCTGATCAAGGGGTTCAATCTAATTTGACTTTTTTTTTCTGTTGGTATTCGATCTTTGGTTTGAGAATAGATGGTCATCTACTTATTGAAGCTTGGTGCTGATGTCAATGCTATAAACCGAAGGGGACAAACCGCTCTTGATGTAGTTGAGTCTGATGTGAGCAATTCTGGTGCTCTTTTGATTCTACCTGCATTACACGATGCTGGAGGCAGGAGAAGCGATCAATTGCCACCAAGTTCACTTGAACTTCAACTAATAGAACAGGAAAAGAGTTTGCCTTCTTCATCACCAAAGCGAATGCCTGAATATACCACTAAGCATCACCGTCGTTCTCAGCATCGCCGCCGAGAGAAGCAGCTAGAGCTTCAGACTGAGGGTCTACGAAATGCTCGTAACACGATTACTGTTGTGGCAGTTTTGATAGCCACCGTTACATTTGCTGCTGGGATAAACCCTCCGGGGGGTTTTAGACAAGAGACAGGGGAAAGCATAATGGGGAGGCATACTTCTTTCAAGGTCTTTGTGGTGTGCAACATCGTGGCATTATTCTTGTCCCTTGGCATTGTTGTTTTCCTAGTCAGCATTGTCCCATTTCAGCGAAAATCCATGATGAAATTGTTGGCGGTGACACATAAGGTTATGTGGCTGTCCACGTCGTTCATGGCGGCCGCTTATATTGCTGCCATGTGGGCTACTTTGCCACACCGGCCAGGGCGGGGGATGAAATGGGTGTTTGTGGCAATAGTGGCTATTGGGGGAGGGTGCACCATGGCAATTTTTGTGGGCTTGGGGGTTATGCTTGCAAAGCACTGGCTCAGGAAATGGGAATGGAGGCGAAGGAAGGAAAAAAGGAAGAACGAAAGCCCAACTAGTAGCGTCAGTCGTGTTGAAGAACTAGGTATGATGAGAAAAGGAAGCCACGACTCTAGTAATTCAGATGTTGATAGCTCCGATAAAGGGGGTTACCACTTGTATTAGAAGTATGCAGAAAGGTTTAGGCAGAATTTGTATCATAAATTGTTAGATGAAGCCCAGGACTAGTCCCGCAAGTGCACACCATCAGCCGTCTTACCGTGCATGCAGCTAGCCTCTTTCGCTGTAGGCAGATAGCATTTAGCTGGGTATAGCACTTTCTTTATTGCCAATGTTTATTTATCATCTATTCTCCATTTATTAACAGCTAGTTCTCAATAAAGATAGGATACAAATATATTGGTTCATTACATCCAATATTGTAAAATATATATTTTTGCTGCAATAAACAGTCCATATAAATAAACCTTTGTGAAAGCAACTTTCCAATTTACAAGTAATAGCTCTGTCTCTCCAATACATAAGCCTTGGAAACATCTATATGGATGCTATTTCAGGCAAGGAATATTTTGTGCTATCTTTTTAAGGTTTTAATTGTTGGGTTGGATACTTCTTCATGTGAGGTTCAAAATCCATTTATATAAAATACGAATATATATAAGATTTTCTAAACAAAAATTCACTTACGTGACTTAACGTATGAAAAAGGCCAATTTGACTTATTGGTAACTGCCAGCATCAACAAAAGAAAAAAGGGAAAAAAGACAAAAAGAAGAGTGCAGCTGAGAAAGAGGGAAGAAAAGTTTGTTGTCTCTTTTTATTGTCTTAATTGTACGGTGATTTTAAATCCGATGGAGTTTGAATTTTGACATATTGTTTTTAACAATGAGTTTTTATTGAGATTTTTTTTATCTTTGGATATTTTTTAAAAAATCTATTTAGTGAAATTAATTTATTCTTTTTTTTTTTTTAATTATTGGAATTCATCTTCAGAGATTGACTTTTTGTTGGCTATTCGGTTAGTTCAATCATCGATAAAGAAGATGGGCTCTTATAGTACTTTGGTTGCAGCGATTCAGGAGATTTTAGTAAGAAGCTAGCAAATACATCTCACTCATGGTTATAGGGAAGCAAATAGATTGGTACATCGGCTAGCATCTCTTGCTTTTTTCTTACCTTTTGGTGTCACATATTTTTCTAATGTACGGGTGCTTATGTGAAACTATTTCAAGAGGACATCGGGAGAATAGCTTTCTCAAGATATTGTACTAGTCGGTTATGCTGTCTAAAGCTATGGCTCTCCATCCGATCCAAAAAAAAAAAAAAAAAAAAAAGAAAAAAAAAAAAAAAAAGAAAAAGAAAAAAAAATCATGCATCCCATTATTTAATACGGTAGAAGAGTTTGAGTGGACCACAGTCTCATTTTTTTGTAACCCACGTAAAAATTCGTGTGTTGATTGTAGTTGTATTTATGTATTAATCATTATTGATTGGTTTGTCTTAATTTTAAATCCCTAAAGAGGAAAAAGAATTAAGACTTGTGCTTTGTGGTTTTGGTTCATACATATGTCTTTTTCCAATAGAGTTATATTAGAACTTTGGATTGTGTAGATTGTTTTTTTCATATGTACTTAAACTAGAGAAGGAAGATCGGGTATGATAAAGCTAAAAGTCTCCAATTATCTTCTATAGAAAACATTGATGGAGGATCACTTTTACTATAATGATTTGACTTTTCTATTTGAGTGTAAAGTCGAGAAGCCTACCAATATGAAAAAGGTGTAATGAAAGTTGGTCAATAAAAAAGCTACAACTACTCGTTAGAGAACAGGTATCTTCTAGATTCATCAATCATATTTCTCTAAAACTTGGCTACTATGAAGTTTTGAAATTACTATAAGAAATCCTTGCCAGAAGAGAACCAAAACAAAACTTTCGTGATCGGAGACATAGAAAACTTAAAGTAAAAGAATGGTGAAGATGCTTCGGTGCATTTAATTATTAGTGTAGGTTTCTAAGATCCAACCATGTTTGGATATGCTTGAATTATTGTATTATTTATTTTATTAATAATAAAAAAGTCTTTCTATTAATTCTTATATCTTATATTTATTTATTGAATACAATTAGATATAATTTCTTATGATATGCGTTTGCATTAATGATTGATCGAAAGATGTGAGACAAACACTAATGAACATAAATGATATCATTAAAAATCCAAAGTCGTAGCATTGTAAAGAATAGACATTGACTATATGCGATTAGACTTGCTAGTACTATGCTTATGCTATATGATAACGAGTAAAAGATCTCACACCTATTGATATGATGATGTCAAAGCAAGCACTTAGGTGATTTATGTTAGAAAAAATATCACCTGGACTTGACTCGCCATGAAAACCTATTTGGTTTAGTCTATGGAAATCTTATACAAGATAGGTACAATCGATCCTTAGATTTGAAGTCATCATGGTTATCTCATTAGAGGATTTACATATTTTGACACTCATTTCAATGGATCTAGTGAAGGATTACACATGAGTGATTTGTTAGGTGCACTAGGAATCTAATGGAGGTAGGTGGATTACTAAGATAGGACATGTCGGTCCTTATATGCTTGAAGGAGTTATCACATTGCACTTCGATGACTAAAGAAATTTATGCCCTCGGTAGGAGTACATCAATAGAGCATAGTTGATTTACTTTAAAAGCTAAGACATTTAGGAATCGAAGAAAACTTGCATGATCATAATCGAAAAAGACTAATAACTAAGTTTGAAATCACACTATGATAAGTTGACATGAAGACCGAATTGTATGATAACCATGGTTGTGAAGGGTAATTATGGATTCATTAATCCTTCTAACGAATTGGGTAGTCATGATGTCTTACTAGAGGCTAATCTTGATTTATGTATCAAGAGATAAAAGAAGTATATTTTATTCTTGATAAATTGCCAACATATGTAGGAGTTTATTAAGTCACACATATAAGTTCAAGAATTCACATAATAAAAGAGAAGCAAAGATGTTGGAAAATTTTTTCAATTTTGAAAGCTTCCTATTTTGGAAAAGGTTTTTGAAAATGGAAAGTTTCATAAAATGAAAGTTTCCTAAATAGAAAGTTTCTTATTTTGGAAATCCATTTTCTAATTTAGAAGTCAGTTCTAAATTTGAAAGTAAATAACCTAAAAGGAAATTAGTTTTCTAATTTAGGTTTAAGGGTAATTTAGAAAATTGTTTCCTAATATAAGCCTCCTAAAATTATCTAACCTAATTTATTGAGATAGTCCAAATTAATTAATTGAGAAAAAATAGTTTGAACTAATAGGTTTAATTAAAAGTTTGAAAGATATTTTGATGAGAGGATAAACATGAACCCCATTGGATAAGGATAAATGCTTTAAAGAATAAGATCAAAAAGCCCACATGCATAATAGCTCCTAATCCTTGAAAGATTAGGAAGAAGAAACGAAGAATCCTTTTTAGGACTAATTGCCACCCCTCCTTGTCCTTGGAGGATAAGAAAAACTCTCCCCTTATAAATAAGAGAAGAGGTGTGGCAATATACGAGATATTTTTTTAGAGAGAAAAATGGCACAAAGCAAGAAAAATTAAGGCACATAGCATTAAGCAAAAAATAAGGAGAAAATAGTTTTCTCCCTAACCCTAACACACACCACTTTTCTTTTTTTCTTTTATGGTTGTCGTAAAATTACCTTTATTAGATTTCAAAAGGAAAAACATCAAACAAGTCAAAAAAGGTAAAGCTAGCACTCTATCAATTTTAAGTGCTTCTTTTGTGGGTGCTTGGACTGCGTGGATTATCGATAAAGGCCAAACACTTGGATGACTCTTTTTTTTACAAAGGTTTAAATCTACACTATAAGAGATAATTCTTTATTAAACACTTTAATTCATGAATATTTGGTTAGTTGATTCAACGAAATGATCTTAAGCCCTTTAGATGGGGGAATTTTTTTTTTTATTTTGCACCTCTATAGGATGCATGATCTTTCATTAATAACTTATAAAAGTTCTTGAATCAGTTGTCATTAATGAATCTTGATTTAACTAACGAGATATAAGCACTAATTGTATTGAGTTTATTGTCAAATAGTTGAAAGATTTTGATGACGCCACTTAGAAACTTTACTCTAAATGGAAAGCTCACTTTGAAGATAATGAAGGATAATATTCTTAATGAAGAAAAACATAGAAAAGGGCCAATCACTTTAGAGTTAGAGTATATTTTCTTACGATAAGCGAGGATAAAAAGTCTAGTGATAGAAAAGACAAATCAAAGTCTAGAAGAAGATCTTAGTCAAGAAAAGAAATAAAATATTATTATAAATATTATTATTATTATGAAAGATCTAGATATCTAAAGGAATTGCAAAAAGTAAAAGAGAGATAATATACGTAAAGCCATGATAAGAATGAACAGAACAATATAGATATGGTTGTTAATGATAATGATGTTGTCATTGTTTACGATGATGGTTGTGTAAATCTTGTTTGTCGAATACCAAGGATTATGGTTTTGAATGCTTTTTATCATGTTACATTATGTTAGGATTTCTTTACATTTTATACTAGTGGAGGCTTTTTTCAAGTTAGGAAAGGAAATTAAAGGATGGTCGGTGTTGTGAGCATTAGAGATATTTGGTTAAAAACCAATACCAAGAGCAAGTTACTTCTTAAAAATTTCTCATTAGAATACCACCTAGATTGTGAATTTGACTACTTTTTATGATGTGACATTCTGTAGGATTTCTTTACATCCTACACTAGTAGAGACTTTGGTCAAGTTAGGAAAAAAAATTAAAAGATGGTTAGTGTTTTGAGCATTGGAGGTAGTTGGTTAGGCATGTGCTCGATATCCACCAATACTTGATCTCTATAGGCACTTAGTGAAGAAGGCTATCACAATTTCTTTATAAATAGAAAATAAAAGCTCTCAAATGGTTCTTTAATTGTTGTTAAAGACAATATGATGGGTTTATATGTTTCACAAGCTAATATGATTAAAGAAGAAGTAAATGCAATTGAAGATAATTTATGATATATGAGGATTGGATAATTGAGTGAGAAAGACTTTAATATCCTTGTCAAGAAGAGCCTTATTCGTTTAAAAGGTATGAACTTGAAGACGTGCACTC